CACGACAGAAGAACGCACACGCCAGGGGACGACAAAACCGGACTGCGTCTGCGTCGTGACGGCGACATGAAGTGCACTTACATGCATGATGGTGACTTCTGCATATTTCAGGTGGTCCTCTGCTTGCTTCCGGTCGGCCGTGGGCAGCTGAGCTTTGTGCAGCATCAGCAACATCCTGCACGGGAATCAGGAAACCCTTATCGTTATATGTGGCATCCCGGAAATTAATAAAGTATACGATGCACTACTCACTTCTTGACGCCCTCCATCACTTCCGGCCTCTTGGTGTGCAACTGGGCACTATCGTAATGCACCAGCTCAACGCCGCCCTCTGCAGTCTCGGATAGCTTCCCGCTGACCATGGTGCGGAGGTTCGTAGCTATGACCAGCGAGTAGTGGCCCCTGACACATGTGGACACGGTGTATTTTAGCAAGTGCTCAACGGGCACCAACTGCTCGGGTAGCCGAGGGCCATCAACAGCCAAAACGAGGTAAATGAATTACTCGTAGTACACCGGTATGGCGAGGTAGTCTTGTGCGAAAATACACGGTGCATGGCCAAGGGGCCAAGCCTTGTTCAGGGAGTTCGCGAACGTAAACGCCTTCGTGTCCAGAGCGAACCATGTTTTGCCTCCCTCCAGCTTCGGATGCCTTATGTTCAATAGTCTGAAACACAGCACATATGCACGTTATGGATCGTCAGCTGGTTTACGAGAAATTCACATCTAGCATGTATAAGGCTATCCGTTTCAGGACGCTTACATGTTATGGAAGTCCACAACGGTGTCGGCCAAGCACTCGCCGTCTGCGAGAGTCAGAACGTCCTGTGCTGGCAGCTGACACCCCACTCCACGGGGACCGTAGAGAGCCAACGGCTGGAAATCACGCTGATAGTTGGGGCGGGCAAGACGGGCAACGACATCGTCACTGGGCGGCGGCGGCACCTCTCCTGCGCCCCTCACAGAGCTGCCCGCCGATGTCGCGGTACGAGGGCGGGGCAACTCCTGCTTCACCTTGCGCTTTCGGCGATCCTGCTCCTTTGACAGCGAGGTCAGGGCACTGGCAGCGGATGACAGGTTGTCTCGCTGCACCAGCATACGCTGTATGTTCATCGTGTGCACTTAGAAGACTCAGACGCGTACTGGTTTGGTAGACGGGAGAGACAGACAGAGAGAGTCGAGCGTCCAAAACCTAGTCTGCTGTAATGGCAGCTCACCGGACGAATGTACTAGGCAGTGGACACAGAGTCTGTTGTTGTTCGGAAACCTACAGCATAGACAAGGAACACCAATATTACCATAGCGCGCCAGATCCAGCTGGGTCGAAATTGGCGCGGAACGTTGGATATGCATGATGGGCACACGTGTCATGATTTCGTATCATGCATCATGCCCTCGATGGGGACGACGGTATTACGAAGCATGCGGTCGCGAGGTTGCAAGCGCGGGGGTACAGTGGTTCAGACCCGCTATTGTTTGTGGATCATCAAACGCGTTATATTGTGTGTTGATGCCCCTAAAACTTTCGCTTTCGTGCCCCACGCGTTATATGAATGGACTACTACCACGAGGCTGTGGTCCGGTTCGCCTATCCAAGGTGGCATTCAAACCCTATCTACACCAACTCGTTAAACACAGTCGCGCAACAACATTAACGACATCACATCCATTTTGATATTTGAATACGACAGTAAACACCCCTACAACCCAAACTACAGACCCCAACACCATTACCGCGCCTCATCTGGCCTCATTCCAGTGTCGCAGTCATCACATTACGGTTACAGTTGACGGACGGGGACGCTTGGTGGGCGTCCGACGCAGGCGACTAACGATCAGAGCGTTCGACGTGCCAAACCGCTCTGGCGCATCGCGCACATTAATGCCAAGCGCTAGGGCCCGACGGACAATGTATTCGGTGACGACTCGCGCCACCCGCCTGCGACAACGACGGTCATTCAGTAACGGTCCTGGCTGCGTGTGCAGGGTTATCGAGCGCCCGTCCTCGGCGGCGAGAGTGTCGTCGTTGGTGCGCTGCACGCGAGGCGGGAGTAGGGTTAGCTCGCAGTACGCATAGTCCGTAGCATGCATGAGAGTGTGGCCGCGCCGTGCGAACTCGTCTATGATGTACTGCAGCTGTCCCAGTTCTTGAACAAGAGGTTCGGACATGACACAAAAACTGGGGTTTCTGAACGCTCGCACGGCGGAGCGCCATGATGCCGGCACACAGCCCACGCGCCACCAGCTGAGATGGACCGAAACCGAAGTCCCTCCATGATGAACCCATCCAGTGAACCATGAGTGACAGGGGAGGGGCGTGTCGGAACACTGTCCCGTCGCGCCACTCTCGTGTCGACATCATATGGCGAAGGTAGGAGGCACGGTACATTGTCTTCCATAGCTCTACAAGACCGCACATGCCGGGGTGGATGCACATGGGCGCGTTTGGACCCTGCATGTGAATGATTCGGAGGTTGCTCAGGTTCTGAACGCGGAAACCGTGCTCCGTCGTTTCCATAGCAGATGGATCCGTTGACGAGTGGGCGTCCTGCTTCACGAGGACGATGACATGATCGTCGGTAGAGTATGAATGCCCGTTCAACGCTTCAAGGTACTCGCTGAATACCTGGCAAGCATAACACGCGAGGATGGAGCTCGAAGGTTAGTAACTGGGATTGTACGAGGCTAAAGTCAAGGCATTCCGCAGACGGCGTGGGGTAAGAGCATGAGGAAACCCACCTCGGGCGTGACGGACCCGTCCACGCTGTGTCGCACAAACACGGTAAAACCAGGGGGTGTTTCAAGGCCCTGAGCAATGGCGTCGTCCGCGCGGAATATCAGAAGAGGCGGAGACATGATCGTTCCCGTTGCATTGAACAGGAAGCAGACATTGATGTGCCAGCCGGGCAGCGGATCATCGTGTCCAGTTTCCGCCTCACGAAAGGGGAGCCTGGTGGGCAAGAGAGGCTGCTCCACAAAGCAGTACACGTCGTCTGGATTAGCCTCTAACTCTTCGAGTAGCACGGCCATTTCAGCCATGGTTGAAAGACAGAGTGCACCAACCAGTGCCGAGAATATAGGATACTCTAGCTTACTCTATCAAAAGGCTCTGATGACAGAGAGCGTCATTGTACACGCGGACATTATCCGCCACGTAATCGCACCCTGAACCACTCTTGTCCACATACGTTAGAGGGGTGGACACATGTAGGCATATCATTCGGACCCATCGCGCCACCAAACATACGCACACCGATGAGAGCAGGTTAGATAAGTGGCCACGATGGCGCCAATGTACAGTGAATCGTTGGGGTTTCATTCGGGCCTCTTCATATTTGAGCGGTTGTGCTGTACCTTTGGCGCTGCACAGCCTGACGATCACAGGTAGGTAGCTGTCAGATGGACGAGCGTAATCAACCGAAACAAACCGAGGCTCTCTCTAGCTTTCCGTGTATCATGTGATGTTACTAAGAACAGGCGGACATTGACCGTTCCCCACCGTAGGAGCTGTCGGTTGGACGAGCGCACTCAACCGAAACAAACCGAGGCTATCTCCAGCTTTTCGTGTATCATGTGATGTTACTAAGAACAGGCGCACATTGACCGTTCCCCACCGTTAACAATGTCGCCATCACCACTTCAGCAGGTCGTACCAACACAGAAGGGGGTTGCTGGTACATTTGCGTGTGTGCGCGAGGGGCACAGATTATCGGTAACTTGCAATTAGGGTTTGCCGCAACCTCTTGCGATGCTGGGTAACGCATGCGAGGCGTGCGGCTTGGAGCACGTCGACGACAACACGCTCCAGTCGCATGTGTCTAAGAATGTCAAGTGCAGGAGGAAGATATAGCACTCTCGTGCCCAGCGGCTGGTGGAGGCGTATCGGGACGCGCTGCGCGCCAGGCGCGGAGCAAGGCCCCGTTCACCCGTGCGTTCGAGACGCAGCTATGAAGGCGACTCGGCTGAGAGGGTGGCAGTGGAACCGGTTGCAGTTACCGATCAACCCAACCCGCCCGAAGGCATAGAGGAGGATAGCGACGAGGAGGGGAGTGTCATGTCAGTGATAGACGACGGCTTCAGTACTCTGGTCGAACTGTACATTTTCTTCCGCGAGGCAGATTTGTCCAGAAGGGAGGTGAACAGACTTCTGAACATATTTCAGAACCCTAAGTTCTCGTTGAGGGACGCGAGGCGTTGGCTGAATTTCGTGGATGTCAGACGCTTTGGGCGCGACAAGGCGCCAAGTGATCATGTCCCATGGAAGACGAAGGACATCAAGTGCTACGGCCCCAGAGGCAGGATGTGCACGCTGCTGCTGCACTATCGGGATACGGAGCTGGTGAGTGCATGTGTACATGCCTGGAAAAAGGGCCACTACATGATCGTTTGGCGGAAGGGGAAAACAGGCAGCCCATTAATCCCGCGTGGGCATGCGTGTGGCAGCTGGTGAAGAAATTGCTACGCGCATTCCAGCACATCGCGGGATTCGTGACCAAGCCTCGGGCGGACGCGGAAGACACTGACACGGTGCGGCATTACAGCACTCCCGACACGGGGAGGTGGCTAGAAGAAGCGCAGGTATGTACTCCTGTTCAGTTGTGTGTAATGCGCTGAAAAGCTCGTGCGTTACGTCACTGACGGTTGGGTCCACCATGCGCGCAGGCGGCGATTGGAGGAGAGGACTGCATTGTGCTGGGTGTGATTGTGTACAGCGACAGCACGCACGCCTCGAGGAATGGCCGACTGGCGGCATGGCCGGTCCTTATCAGTCTGTTCAACATCCCAGAAGCGCTCCGCTGGCAGGAGCCGGGCCACGTAATGGCTGGTGTGCTGCCGTTCCCGCCAGAGTGGGCGTCGTCGACTGAGAAGACACGCATTTTCCAGCAGTGCATGGAGGTGATCTTCGAGCCCCTACTTCGGGCGCACAGAGGGTGAGTGGGTGTGGGAGTGGAGCACACGCGCTATGTTCTGACCTACATGCTTACAACTTACCACCACGCCATGCGCAGCGCCGAGTTGCGGTGGTTTTATGTGACGGACGCGACAGGCAAGGTGGTGAAGGCCTTTCCATGCCTCTTCGAGCAGCTGGGGAACTTCCCAGAGTCGTCGCGGTCTACTGCGACTCTGCAGCAAGGCTCACATCGGCCGTGTTCTTCGTGCTACATCAAGGAGACACATCTGGCAGACCTGTCACATAAGTCGGTGGTGCGGACTGTGGAGCTGCAGAGACGGGTGGTGGATGCAATTCAGTCGGCGGATGACAGCAAGGCTGCAGAGAAAATCAAAAAGCGCTGGTCCACCCACCCCGTGCAAGTGAGGAGGTGCAGTGCCGGTATGCTCGTGGCGCAATCTGGAAATATGCACCTGGCTGGGTGACGCAGCGTCCGTTCATATGCGTGCCGTTGTTGCGTGTGGCAGTGCTATTTAGAGAGGTGGAACTTTGCCGAGACCACGTGGGGAAACGTGTTCCTCGCTTGCGCGGCGGGCATTCTCCACGTCCTGGACGGGGGAATGCTGCCACGCATGGGCAGATGCTTCATGGTCGGGAAGAGCAAGCCGGAGAGGCGTGAGTTCGAGAGGTGGGTTTAGATGGGAATGGCGCCACCGTCGTGGTTGTTGCGGTGGCTTTGCTGACCCTCTTTCCCAACCATGGCAGGCGCCGCAAGGAACAAAAGAAGGACACGCGCGCAAGTGTGGTGCGCATCCCGGGGGGGACCACATGGTTCAGCACAGGGGCGAACTACGCCGCTTTCGAGCACAGGGGGATGATGCAGGTGATGCCCCTCCTTATCGCAGACAACATGGAGAAGAGCAAGCAGCCGACTAAGGCAAAACGGGAACGGGAGGTGGCGGCGTTTGTGGCGTACGCCAGCTTCTACAAGGCGCTGGTGGGCGTGACAAAGCACACAGAGAAGTCTGTGGAAGACGTCCGAGAGATGGCTGTGCAGTACGTATCATCCCCGTTATTCATATTAGTGATGTTGCGCCCAAATGTGATGCCCGGCATAAGCATGACTCCCATGCGCACACGCAGGATGGTGGACGCCATCAAGGCCGCATTCCCTGACCAGACGTCGAACTGGAACATCCCTAAGGTGCACCAGATCGTGCACCTGATTGACGGCATACCACTGCGTGGTATGCCGCACGAGACATCCACCAACCTTTGGGAGCACACGCACAAGGGCACCGTGAAGGTGCCAGTCCGTGGCAGCAACTGGCATGACATCCCGCGCCGTATTGTCGAGGAGGAGGTGCAGCGCGAGATTGCACGGGAGGTGGCGGCGGAAGCGGGCGGAAACAGGCAGTATGTGACGGCGCTGCGCGAGGTGAGTGGGAGGGGTGTGTACCAGGGTCACAAGGTGCTGTAGAAGGGAGCGTGTAATCGGACCCCTGGTTCTCACATGAGGCGTGCATGTTGTTGTGTGCACACAGGCCGTGCGAGGACTGAAGCCAGTCCTGACGAAGAAGTCACGGAGGGCGCACGTGGACGACGACCTGGATGCGGTGATGTGGGTGTATCGCGAAGCGCATGGGTCAGACATGGACGCACTCGCCGGGTGCATGGTGGCGGCAGGCATCCCCACCACTACCATTGAGGTGGGGAATGACGTTGGTCACAAGATGGCTGGGTGATGGTTGATACATCGCGGTGATAGCCTGTATGTTGGAAGGGCCAGAGCCATGTGAAGGCATCACACCGCATCCACTGAACATCGTATATGTTGCTGGTCGTACGCAGGTGCACACTGCCGTGGCGATCCCCCGAACGCGGGGGGGGGAGCTTGTGGCCAAGGGCACATTTGTGAAGGCCAGCCCTTCTGAGCGGTGGTTTTCTGACATCGCAGTGTTCCGGTCGGACGATGAGGAGTGGTACGCAAGGTGCCTCTGCATCTTCCGCGCAGAGGGGGCGGACGGAGCGATGGGGCGGCACGTGTACGTGAAGTACTACGAGGCGGAGGGCACGTGCCCAATGACGACATGCTTGCAACTGTCTCCCGGCCGTGTGAGAACAAGATATGCGGTGGTGGAAGTGGAGTGCATCCAGAGGGTGGTGCACTTGGGCAAGTCCTATGTGAACAAGCGGGTCATGCTCCTGAACAAGTTCCAGCTGACGGAGTGAGGATGGTGGGTTATTCTAGACGTGACATGTGTGTCCACGGTTACCATGTGCGCGGATATGGACGCAATTGACGCTAATTCTGTAGACACATGATGTGGCCCCTTACATGGTTTTTAATGACCATATGCGTCGTTTGGTCCGGTTGATGGTACAGGCCTTTTAAGGGTTGCGATAGTATCCACCTGGTGTAGATGTTGGCACCTTGCTCAGAATGAGTAAATGTTTCAAGGAGGGCATTTGGTGTAGAGCGAAAATGACGGCGATGCTGTCACAGTGTTCGATGACGCGCGAGCGCCAAATGTGCGATTCGAGGCGAGGTGCGGGTCGACATCGAAAATGTGCGCCTCGATTTTCCAGGGGCCGTTTTGAGCCTGAGGGGTTGAGCACTATCGTGACATTTGCGTCACTTGTGTTTTGGGACGTTTTAGGTACTCGCTGGCACTTTTTGTATGCTTTTCCGTAGAAAAACCCACTCACACGAAAACTGAGCACCAAACTTTTCCGCATGACTAGAGCTACAGCCATGCCAAACAGCCATGTGAAAGGAATTTTGTATGTCGCATGTTGTGACTGACAGACAGGTTGACAGAGTAGCTGTGAATCGTGATATACCTGCTGGGCCTCAATGTATGTCAGGTCCTGTCCAGCCTCCCGGGTCCTGACGTGCTGTCATGCTCTTTGGATACGAGCTTTCTCCCCCTCGCTCCTTTTCTATTGCCTCTCCTCGCATCCTCATCCTCATCCTCATCCTCATCCAGTGTAGTCTGGCTGTAGTCAGTACATTGTTGAATGTATGGAGCTCTTGAACATACAACCCCTTTGGCGGAATCCTACATTGCAACACTGCATAGAACTGTTTATGGAGTAGAGTGCAATACCGGTAGGCCTAGAAGGAGCTATAGAGCAACCCAACACCCCGCCCAAACCAGGCAGAGAGAGTCAGAGCGCTAGGGAAAATTATGCAGTACAGATTTTCTTTACAACACTGGATAGGAGGACCCTCTATTAATCTGTGAAGACAAACAAAAGCTCACAAGAAAAACAGAATTACAGAAACCCGCCAATGGGTGTCTGACACTATCTGGTTTCCCATCCTTGCCACTAGGCGCCCGCCATGTTAGCGCCGCTTCCTGCCATATCCGCCCTCGTCCTAGCCAGGCCCTTCCTGCTCCCCTCCACACTCCTCTGCCCCTCCGTAAAGCACTCTACCCTCCTTACTGCTTCGCACCCTTCATTCCCTTCCCTCCCTTCAGACCCTTCACTCCCGTCGCTCCTGCCTCTCCCGTTGCTCCCGCCTCTCCCTTCGCTTCCGTCCCTCCCGTCTCTCCCTTATCTCCTTTCCTTCCCTTCGCTTCCGTCACGGGTGGGACGGGAGGGACGGTCGCTCCCGCCTCTCCCGTTGCTCCTGCCTCTCCCTTCGTTTCCGTCCCTCCCGTCTCTCCCTTATCTCGTTTCCTTCCCTTCATTCCCTTTGCTCCCGTCACGGGAAGGATGGGTGGGACGGGAGGGACGGTCCCTCCTGCCTCTCCCGTTGCTCCTGCCTCTCCCTTCGCTTCTGTCCCTCCTGTCTCTCCCTTATCTCCTTTCCTTCCCTTCACTCCCGTCGCGGGAGGGACGGGTGGGACGATCGCTCCTCTCCCGTTGCTCGTGCCTCTCCCGTCGCTCCTGCCTCTCCCTTCGTTCCCGTACCTTTCGTCCCTCCCGTCTCTCCCTTATCTCCTTTCGCTCCCTTCATTCCCTTCACTCCCGTCACGGGAGGGACGGGTGGGACGGGAGGGACGGACGCTCCCGCTTCTCCCGTTGCTCCTGCCTCTCCCGTCGCTCTTGCCTCTCCCTTCGCTCCCGTCCCTCCCGTCCCTCCCGTCGCTCCCTTATCTCCTTTCCCTCCCTTCATTCCCTTCACTCCCGTCACGGGAGGGACGGAAGGGACGGTCGCTCCCGCCTCTCTGTTGGTGCAACCCTACGGTTTGCACTCGGCTTGTTGTTCGTGTGCGTGAATGTGTGTGTGTATGGAATGGTATGAGGGCATGGGATAATATATATTTCATGCTTATAATTGTGTGTGAATGTTGAGTCATGATGTCGAGTGTGTGTGTCGAGTCAATAGCGAGTTATCGCTAGACGCGTGTTACGCGGTCGTTTGTGTCTCGCGCGCGGTTTCTATTTTGTCGTGCGCGGTTTCTATTTTGTCCTGTGTCGAACGTTCGGCGTGTCGCAGGTGTGTGCAGCAGACCCATCAAGAACTCAAGGATGAGTTTGTGATGAAGAGCCCGAGCCTTGGTGTCAAGCCTCAAGTGATTTCGAAGCTTGCCAAAAGGGTACACCTCAAGATATTGAAGATAGTTACATTACTTTGTGTAGTGTAACATTTCACTTGGTGTAGTCCCTAGTGAAGGGTAGTTTCGAGACCCTTCGTGGTTGGGGACAGTGTGGCACTGTTCCACATCACTGTACCTCGGCTCTTGGGATTTGTAGGAGCTGGGAGTCATTCCCAACTCGTAACTCTTCCTATCTTGTGTTCTAAGACTATAGTGGCTGCCATAGTACCGTTCGTTCAAACCGACGCTGTGTCGTCAATTCTTTATCAAATCGTGCAATCTAAATTGCTAATTGTAGACGACGTGAAGACGCTCCAGATCCAATTTGAATCAAGTCATTTGCAGCTGTGAGCAGAACGCTATCAACGTTTGAATCCGCTGTGCAGAAATCCGTCTGTGCTCTCTATCTTTCGTTTTAGGCACATTCAAGCCTATTGTGACTATAACAAGTGGTATCAAAGCCCCTTGGAGCAGTTTCGACAATGTCTGGACCTGAGGAAAGGGGTGGCAGAGGTGCTGGTGGCAGTGGAGAAGCTCAAGCTCAAGGCCAACCCCGTGATTCAGCTATGGCGCCCATGCAACCAAGTCTTGGCCCACCTAGGGATGAGCCTAGGGTGTTTGGGCTTGACAAGTTCAACGGTGACAACTTTGCTGAATGGTCCTTCAAGATGGAGAACATCTTTGACCACTATGACCTGCTGGAGGTGATGGAAGGAACGGAGAAGCGCCCCGAGAACGACCCGGAGAAGAGCCCGTGGGTGCGGAAGAGCGCACAAGGCTATCTCTTACTTGGGCAAGCGTTGGGGAGCAGTCAGATCCGTCACATCAAGCCATTCCAGCGTGAACCAGAGAAAGGACCAAAGGCATGGGCTGCTCTCAAGGGTGTACATGCTCCTGCAACAGCGGCGGTAGCGGTGGTGTTGGAACGGCAAATGGCGGCACTACGAATTGAAGAAGACGAAGCGGTTGAAGAAGGGGTGCAGAAATTCCTCGACTTGTTGACGCGGCTTGAGGGAGCTGATTTGAACTACAGTGAGCTCCAAAAGAAGACCAAGTTGCTGGCCTTACTCCCAGAGTCATGGTCCTCGCTCATCATCAACCTTAATCGCGACTTGCCCCGCCTCTCGCTTGAAGACGTGAAGCGAGCTATCCTTCAAGAGGATTTCCGCCGCCGTGAGTTGGCGAGTGCGGATGGCGCTGGGGCAGCGAGCATCGGCCGTGGATATGGTCGAGGAAGAGGCAGAGGACGAGGGGGAGGAAGGTTTGGTGGCAGCAACTTCGGCGGAGGCCGCAGGAGTGGCGGTTACGGCAGCGACGACAAGAGCTACGGACGCGGTCGCGGCCGATTCGACGGCGAGTGTCACTATTGCCACAAGAGCGGACACATGTGGCGCGACTGCTACAAACTCCCTGATGGTTGGACCCCTGCTCAAGGCCAAGAGGGTAGAGGAGCAGGAGGAGGGAGAGGACGAGGCCGTGGAGGCCGTGGCGGTCGCGGTGGCGGAGCTGCAAACATGAAGAGCGGAGACAACGACAAGGACCCGAGCGACGATCGATACCCGGGTCTATTCTACTTCGTGTCGACGCAAGTACCGGCTGGTCCAGAGAAGGATGAAGGCTTTGAGGAGCCAGCAGCTGTGGGGAAGGTGACCCTACACCCCCTGGACTATTGGGTGATTGATAGTGGCGCTACCTATAGCATGACACCTCGCCCGGACTTGCTCACCGAACTCGAGCCGTCACCGGTGAAGCATGTCACATCGGCCTTGGGGCAGCGAGCAGAGGTGAAAGGCATGGGCAAGGCCATGTTCAAGGGTGCTGATGGGAAGATGGTGGGCCTCAAGAACGTGCTTTGGGTGCCCAGCCTTGCTGCAAACCTGATTTCCGTGCGGCGGTTGGCAAAGGCCGGCATGGACACGAACTCGAAGGGAGCCAAGACCTACACCGCAAGGCTTGGCGATCGAATTCTTTGGGACCTTCATGAGGACAGGGATGTCTACAACGAGATGTGGAAGATCCCAGTGGTCCCTATGCCTAAGGAGAGGCAAGTGGCAGCAAGCATCAGCACCAAGGATGGAGCGGTCGGTAGCGACGATGGCGCGAACGGTCGCGCTAAGGAGAATGGGCTCAAGAAGAGCAAACCTGGAGGGACCAGCAAGTTCAGTGAACCTAAGGAGAGTGGTGCAGCAACCAAGGAGCAGCAAAAGGGTGAGGAGAACCCAGAGGCAGCAGCGGAGGAGGACTACGGAGAGAGTATGTGGGGCGCTATTGCGAGCGCGGCATTCTCCAATCCAACTTCGGCTACGGGGGAGTGTGATTGGCTCACCTTGCATCGGCGCATGGGGCATGTGGCCCTGCCCATCTTGCAGCAGCTAGTGAAGAATGAGATGGTTGCTGGCATACGTGTGAAGGGGGAGCCCGATGAGGTGCTTGGCTGCCCGACGTGCATTCAAGCCAAGTTCACCCGGTTTCCGTTCCCTAGTTCGGAGGCAACGGCAAATGCACCGCTTGATGAGGTGGTGATGGACGTGGTTGGCCCCCTGAAGCTTGGAGCTGCTGGAGCTGAGTATTTTCTCACCATTGTCGACGTCTACACCCGCATGACTTGGGTGTACGTGCTGGCCAAGAAGAGCGACGTGGCTGAAACGTTGAAGACGGATTGGTTCCCGATGGTGGAGCGGCAACAAGACCGTCTAGTCAAGTCAATCCGCACCGATCGAGGGGGAGAGTTCCTGAGCAAGGAGTTTGGGTTGTGGCTGAAGAAGAATGGTATTCGGCACTCCCTCACCATGCCATACTCCCGTGCAATGAACGGCATCGCCGAGCGAGCGAACCGCACAATCACGGAGGCGGCACGCGGGTTGCTCATTGAAGCCGGGCTACCCGACTATTTCTGGCCTGATGCGGTGCGGAGCGCGTGTGTGGCCAAGAACAGAGCCTTGACTCATGTGGGAGCAGACAAATGGGTGCCCTATGTGGAGTGGCTAGGAAGGAAGCCAAAGGTGGATATGCTTCGGGTGTTCGGGTGCATGTGCATGGCGCTCGTGCCTAAGCATCTTCGGCACAACAAGCTTGGTGCCAAGGCGGTGTGGGCCGTGCACTTGGGCATGGCTCAAAACAGCAAGGGATGGCTTCTTTGGGACCCATTCACCAAGAAGTTCTTGGTGAGCAGGGACTGCAAGTTCATGGAGAACTTCATGTACAAGGATTGGAAGGCGGAGAATGAGGCGAAGATAGGCGTGCGGTTTGGGGAGGTGAAGAGTTCCGGTTTGGAGCATGTGGAGCTGCCTTTGGAGCTGAGCAGCGGCAGCACAACCACAAGGCAATCCTCCCTTGTGAATGGGGGAGAGGAGGCCAATGATGCAGAGGAAGAAGAGGAGGAGGTGCAGCAAGTGAGCGAGCGTGCACCGTCACTCCCTTCCCGTACTACGAGTGCTCCACGGATTCGAGCCACACCGCAGCAACGCCAAGGCCTTCAAGTCCCTGCAGCTGAGGAGGAAGGAAGGGGGGAGAGGAGAGTTCAACCCCCTAATAGGCTGACCTATGATGCGCCGGGAAAGCAGGGCAAGACAGCCCTGACCGGAGCGGCAATGATGGTCGGAGACGACGAGGAGAGTGACTACGAGGAGTGTGCCTTCGCGTTCTTCTCTCCGGTGGAGATGCCGGGAGAACCAGCAACTCTCAAGGAGGCTTTGGAGAGTAGTGATGCTGAGGAGTGGAAGAAGGCCATGGAGAGTGAGCTGAAGAGCATTGAGGAGAATGACACGTTTGAATTGGTGGAGCTACCGGAGGGGCGTACGGCGATAACGTCCAAGTGGCTCTTCAAAATCAAGTCGGATGCCGACGGCAAGATCGAGCGCTACAAGTCTAGGCTTGTAGCCAAGGGGTACCAGCAGAAGGAGAAGGTGGACTTCAAGGAGCTGTTTGCCCCTGTGGTGAAGCCGACGACGCTGCGAACCCTATTCGCGGGAGCCGCCATCAAAGGATGGGTAGTAAAGCAAATGGACATCGTAACGGCATTCCTTAACGGCATCCTTGAGGAGGAGATTTTTATGGCGCAGCCAGAGGGGTTTGATGATGGTAGTGGCAGAGTGTGGAAGCTGAAGAAGGCCCTCTATGGGCTGAAGCAGGCCCCTAGGCAATGGTACATGAAGCTGCGCGAAGTGTTGGAGGGGATCGGCTTCACTCCCTCAACGGCCGATCACTCCTTGTTCATGCTTGGCGAGGGGGAGCAGAGGAGTTTCATGGTGGTTTATGTGGATGACATCCTCATTTTCTCACCCTCTTCTGACCTTGTGAAGGAGGTGATGCTGAAGCTTCAAGACAAGTTCAAGTGCAAGGCCCTTGGTGACGTGAGCTTCTACCTTGGGCCCCACATCGAACGAGATGTGGAGAAGCGGTGCATGCGGGTGCATCAACGAAAGTACCTGGAGGCATTGGCTGCCAACTTTGGGCAGAGTGAAGGCCATGTGGCTACAACCTTTCCCTCTGGGTTCAAGTGTGTGAAGGGACCAGAGGAGGAGAGCGTTGGTGAAGAGGAGAGGCGCCGATTTCACTCGTTGGTGGGCAGCCTCATGTATGCGGCGGTAAACACCCGACCGGACGTCGCGTTTGCTACCGGGCAGCTGGCTAGGGTTGTGCAATGCCCTAATGAGGAGCAGGTAGCAGCTGGAATGAGGGTGGCCAAGTATCTTGGCCAAACACTGACCGTTGGGCTGCAATACTCGGCGGCGGCACAAAGGCGCCAAAAGGGCGCGGATGGTGTTGAACCCGGGCGTTTGTTCCTCACCGCCTACTCGGATGCTTCATATGCATCAGAACCAGAGGACATGACAAGTGTGGGAGGCTTCATATGCTGTGTTGGTGGAGGCCCAACTGCTTGGGAGAGCAAGAAGCAGGTTGACCAAGCTTTGAGCTCGGTGGAGTCCGAGTACATGGCACTCTTCCGTGCCGTACGGGAGATTGTGTGGCAGCGGCGTTTGTTGGCTGAATTGGGGGAGGAGCAGCAAGGACCTACCCCACTGTACTGTGACAGCCAGGGTGCCATTGCTCTTGCTAAGAACCCTGTGTTGCATGGACTCACGAAGCACATGAGGGTGAAGTGGCATTGGACGAGGAGCATGGTAACCGCGGGTGAAGTTGAGTTGCGCTACGTGAAGACCACGGGGCAGCCGGCTGACATGATGACCAAGAGGCTGGTGGAGCAGCAGCATTGGAAGTGTTGCA